GTGTGTGTGTGTGTGTGTGTGTGTGTGTGTGTGTGTGTGTGTGTGTGTGTGTGTGTGTGTGTGACAAAACTCAGCAGTCTGGACGATTAAATGGCCATTATTAAGAAAGCGTTAATAAAGTGTTCCCTCCCGCCTGTCTGTCCTGTAGTGTTGTCTTTGTGAGATTACAGCTGCAATATTGGAACAGTTTAATTAATCTGCTGTCGGACTAAATTCGGTTCCCACAGAGCCTGAAGAGGAACAACACTTGGGGTATGTGAATGTGTTTGATGCACATGGATACTCTTGTGTGGGCTGCTGTGTTAGCTGAGAAGTCCATTAAGAAAGAAAACAGGTTTTATTATTGTGCTTTGTGTGTTTTTAGGCCTGAAACCACTKATTAAAGCTGCACTAACTCACAGCAGTGAGTCAGGTTTTTTATCATATTTTCTACTAAAGTGATTGCCTCAGATGTATTTGTTGCCCAGAGAATAAATCCTACACATGTTGCCCAGTTCCTGTTTTTTTAAACAACTTAAATCTAAATAATTTCGATTATTTTCTCGTGGGCCAATTATTCTTGCAGCTGATGCGTTTTTTTCCCTCCTCCCTCATCCGAGTTGCTCTATATAGGAAAAGCTCCAGGAACCAATGGGATAAACAGCCATTGTTTTCCCTGCAGGCTTGGTGAAACCACCCTGTCACTATGACCTTCTTGTAAACACTTTTACAAAGCTGTGCCTCTAAGTACCATCAAATATACAGTATTTACCTGCATGTGAAAGTTTAAGTGTTAACAAAGATCTGTTTGTCAAAAGCCCACAGATATCAGATCAGTTTTCCAGTCATCTTTCCCCAGTGTTTTTTTTATTTTTATTTTTTATCGCGGTCCATCTCCGTTTGGCAGCGCATGACAGCCTGCCTACTTCCAGCATTTATCACACTTCAAGTCCAGGGCCAATGTTTTGGTGATAAAAAGTGCGCCGGTTCGTCCTGCTCAGTCATCACGTCGCTGATTTAGCAACTGGTTCGGTTCCACTGTCTGAGGTCACGGAGAGGGAAATGACCACAACGGGTTGATTGGAGTTCGAGAGAAAAGGATGACGCTGTTAGCTTGTCCCGACTGTACTATGAACTACATTTATTCTGCAGTTTTGACGAGCTTTTGTTGAATAAACACCTCTAATATGTGTTTTAAATACCTTCTGAAGCTCTTMTGAACAAGAGACAATATAAAATATTGTGCTTTGTGTTTTTCCCRTGGCAGAAGAATAAAATAAAATGCAATAAAATTACTTTTGTGTTCACCTACAGGCTCATCATACAGCTTGTTAAAAAGTAGTGATGTCTCAGTCTGGAGAAAAAGGGAAGGTGAGTAATCAGCACTTGTTTTTACACCAAATTTCAACAGCTGGACAAAATATGAGGACTTCCTAATGAGACACAGGTGAAAAAACATGGTTCTGTTAATGTCTTCAGTTCAAACCTCCAAAAAGGATATCCTGTATAAATCAAAGAGTTCATGGTTTGATTTTATTTCCTGCTGGAATTCCTCCTTGTTACGCATCACTAGCAGCCTCAAATTCACTTGAGTACCTCAAACTTTATAAAATAAGACAAGACAGATTCATGGACTAAATAAGAAATCCTTTCTTTTTTGTGTTGCATTACTTATAACTTAATAAACTCATTTTCAAAAAGTAAAAAGAGGTTGATTTTTTCCCCCTCCTCCAGTTCCCAGATGCAACAGGTTATGTAGGGTTTGCAAACCTCCCAAACCAAGTGCATCGAAAATCAGTGAAGAAGGGTTTTGAGTTCACCCTCATGGTTGTAGGTGAGTGAGTGTTCATAACTTTTATTGTAGTTATTTCAAAATTCTTTCTTTGAAGTATAAATAATTATTTTCTGTTTGTCAGGGGAGTCCGGTTTGGGCAAATCAACACTTATAAACAGCCTGTTTCTCACCGATCTCTACCCTGAGCGCTACATCCCTGGTGCTGCAGGTATGCTCTCTAACACACACGCACACTGTAACAATGAAGAAATGTCTGCTGAAATGTCTCTAGCAGAGCATTATTTTAAAAGGAATGTTAGGAATTTTGTGGTCTACAGAAAGTATCATACCTTTCTTATGAYTTGACTTGGATTAGGATTTGTTCCTGCTTAAAATCAGCCAATGAACTCCCTCTGGTCAGTTAATATAGCCCATAATTTAGTTTTCTGTAAGGAGTCAATAGGTTGTTTATTCAGCTGTTGAACTTCAAAAGATAAACAACCAGTTCAACATTTAGAGTTAAATTTACTGTAACTACATACCATTTTTTATGCTTAAATTAGTTGATTATTTTCCATGCCTTGGTCCCCCCCCACAGAGAAAATCGAGCGGACAGTTCAAATCGAGGCGTCTACTGTTGAAATTGAGGAGAGAGGGGTGAAGCTTCGGCTCACGGTGGTCGACACGCCTGGATACGGCGACGCCATCGACAGTCAGGACTGGTGTGTTGGAGTTATCTTTCATATCAGCATCCAGATATCATCATACTGTTTGTGTACTTGTGGATGTGTCAAATATCTGTTTTGAGTTTTGAATAGGGCAATAGGGTAATTCATCAACTCAGTGTTTTTTAAACTACTTGCTGCTTTTACTTATGCAACAGCAGTTCTTTTTAGTGCACTTCAGACTAATTTCTTGTTTAAAAAGAAGATTTCACTAACGGTTTCTCTTTTCTTTTTCTTTTTTTTTTTTTGGCCGTCAGCTTTAAGACAATCATCCAGTACATCGACAATCAGTTTGAGCGATACCTTCATGATGAAAGTGGGCTGAACAGAAGACACATAGTGGACAACCGGGTGCACTGCTGCTTTTAYTTCATTTCTCCTTTTGGACACGGGTGAGAAAAACTACAAAGACATTTAGTTTTTACTTTAATTAGAAGGTAGATTTATACAAGACAATATATTATTATTGTCTAGTGTCATAAAAGCAGAACAACCTCATTTTAAAGATGTCCTTTTTTTTAATAATTATTTATTGCTCAACACTAGAGCTTCTTCTTTTGACAGTTTAGTGATAAAACTAGTTTCCCTTTTTTACAGATCTTCCTTTTCTCCTATTTTGGTCATATAATTTTATGCTATACAACGCATATGTTTTTTAAATACATGTTTGATGTTTGTCCCAATCATTCTCCTTTTTTACCCCCTCCCAGTCTGAAGCCTCTGGATGTAGAGTTTATGAAAGCAATCCACAGCAAAGTCAACATAGTTCCGGTCATCGCAAAGGCCGATACGCTCACGCTGAGGGAGAGGGACCGCCTGAAAAGACGGGTGCGTTTTGCAGTTTTTTTTACCCACAGATGTTCTACTTTTAAAAATAAAGCTTGTACTATGTTTATGAGTTATTTAAACCCTTTTAAGGGGGTTTCCATGTTGTTGTAAGTTTTTTATTTTTTTATTTGTTAGACGCAGACTGTTATAATTAAGGAATAACAAAAAGCTTAACATGACAGCCTTTAAATCCTTTTTATCTGCATATTTGCTGGAAGCTTGGCGAGTCAGCATCTCTGTTTGTTTGAAAAGCACATCCGCACTTCCTTGTGTAATTACTGTGATGCACAACTTTTGGTACGTTTGATGACACCACCAGATTATTTAAAAGGTTAGGGAGGAGCAGTACAAGAGAGGAAGCTGTGGGACGAACAGAAAAGAAAAAGAAAAGGTTTTGCATATAAAATTGATGAAGCACTTCTCATCTAGAGTTAAGCCGTCCCAGAAACTTCCTCTGGGAGCGGACCCAAGTATCTGCCTGCTGGCCTGCACGCTCCTCAGCTTCCTGCTGTCCAGAAGGGAAAGCACATAATAACACCTCACACTTCACATGAGTGTGTTCAGCTGATAACCTCTCATTTGCACTATTAGTTAAATGGGTTTTCTCCTTTTGAGATGCATGTTTTCTTTACTTCTTTTTCAGTGTTTTTGATTTCCCTTTTAAAAGAGCTGAAATCAGAATTTGAAGCTGTTTCTGATATTATACATCATGAYTTCATAACTTTTTAACTTGTTTCCAGAAAGCAAAATATAGACAGAATTTTTTTTTCTTGCACTGAATTTGTTTTTATTTTTGTGGCTTAAGCGCAGGTCTCCTCTAGTGCTAGAACTATAAGTTAATTAGGAAATCTCTAATTATATTTTGACTTTGCAAAATACCCATTTGATACATTTCTGATTACATTCTGACTAGTATAAATGATGTCAGATTTACCATTAAGATGTTCGGAGGCTCAAATTCAAGATATCTGTAAAAAATTACCTACTAACAAACATATTTCAGAAATCAACCATTAAATTATGACTAGTCATAAAGACAATTTGAAATATCTCACTTTTTGTTTATCATAATTATAACTTAAGATATCTTAAACCGACACCAGGTTTGTAAGCACAGTAAATATTGGCGTTCTTGGAAGTTATTCTGACATTTTTGTTGTTCATTTTGACATAAAAATTATATCGACTCGATTGAAATGAGTAGTTATATCAGGATATAAATTTTGGTCATATCGTCCAGACCTAGTCTCTTCACAGTTGAGATGCTTGGGGTTTTTGATAACCCTGTCGTTCTTCAGACCTTCTACTAGTTTGATTTTTTATTTCTTTTAWTAGACAATTTAGCTACAGACTCCCAGGCCTACTTTCAGCACCTAAATTAGAATATATCTAGGAAAAATGGTGAGGAGCAAAAAAAAACTGATAAATGCAGTTATCTACAATTTATTATGATATTTTTTAGCACTGGTTTAGCACTAGTTCCTAAATGCAGCTGTAATACCTGTAATTTCCCTCGGGAATCAATAAAGTATTCTTATTCTGATTCTGATGATTCTAAATGGTTTTTTTTAAATTATTTCCAGCCTTATTGGAGAGTTCAATCAATTAGTTTTTTCTTTAAAAGTGAATTTGTAAGTAAGTAAACCTTATTTTTATCACACATTCACAAACATCACAAAGTGCTTTGAGATTAAAAAACAAATAATTTGTAAGTTTTTTATGTTTGAATCACTTTTCATGCAAATCCCAAACAACCACTGATATTATAGCTATTTAAATGTTTGAATTTGTTTTTTTAAGTTTCAAATCTTTAAAAATGTAACAATTTTAAGGAATACACCAGATTTTAGTCTTAGAAAAGTTTCAGATCTTCTGGTTACAATTCAGAATCGTGGCCATTGAATCCAACTTTAGCCACAAAACATGTTTTTGTTGTTTGTGTTTTTTTTCAGCCCACCTCACGCCTGTTTTAATTAGAAATCAGCCCGTCTCTTCTCGCCTGTATGTCCAGACCTCACACCTGCTTCTCATTCAGTTGTCGGAGCCGGTGGTCTGACTGGAGTCATACTCTGCTCTGTCCTCACCAGCAGCCTTTCTGCTTTAAGTTTCTGTTTTCACGTTGCCTCAGAAACCTTGATGTCGTTTTAGTCAAATATAGCTGGGCGTTWAGAACGCACGCTGCGCTCCTGGGAAAACGATTGTTTGTCCCTGGTCCCAAATATTTACACACTTTTAAAAGGTGCAATCTGTTCCACAATCAAAGGAGAAATTTTCCTGTTTTCCTAAAAGAACCCAACAGTTAGAATTTATGTTTTAATGCCGTTTTGTGTAGTGACCTTCCCCAAACGTTTTTAGTGTTCCTTTGGCACTTAATGTGAACAAACCCATGTTTCCTGCCACCGCTGAGTCCCACCTCAAGCTGTGGGAAGCCCCCTTCAGCTCGTCAGCTTTCAGCAGCTCAGTTGTTCTCAAGTTCTGYGCTAATCTTTAAATGTTGTTTTTTACACTTTTACTGTAAAGTATTAGCCAGTAGTAGAACTGTAAGGAAATAATAACAGCATAACAATAGAAATATGTTAGTATCACACTGATATGACCACYTTTCGGTCTATCAGCAGAACTATCTGCCCATCAGTTTGTACACATGCTTCACTAAGTGTCCCTTTAACAGACATTTCCTGAGGCAGCAATTAGTTCAGGAGTTGAACAAAACCTTCCAAGAAATTCAAACGTGCACTTCATAAAATCAAAAACAAATCTTGTTTGTTGTGATTTGTTGTGTCTTTCCACTGGGTAATTTTATCTGCTCTTTCTAGTAATGAGCTTCTTGGAAAGTCATGATTGTCGGGAAATCCAGGCAGTTTTTTAACCATATCTTTGCCCACATTGAGAAAACAGCGCTGCATGTGTCTAATGAGAGCACATTACATTGCTATCTACTGTTGTGTTTGGCTGCAATTTGGTTACATACGGTTTATACTTGCTTTCAGTTTCAGGTCAACGTTAAAATGGACATATCATGAAAAATCAACTTTTTTAGCCGTTAAATGCATTTTGTTGTGAACTTTGAGTCTCTAGGAGGCAGAAATTTTTTATTTAGTCTCTCCCGGTGCTGCATAGATATCTTTATATGCTTTTTGGGTCATATTTTTCAATCAGTTCAGTTTTTTCTATTTTTTATGACATTTTCTGAACTATTACATTACAGTATTTGTGACAGAACTTCTAAATAAGGTCTACACTCACCAAATACACCAAATACAGATAGTCTGGCTCTGGGTCAGACTCTGGCTCCAACATGTAAGGCTGGATGGACAAGTCTGTCCCGCTTTGAGACATTCAGACCAAAGCATTGCAGTTTCACTTTGTACACACTCCAACTGAATGATTTAAATGTGAAAAACAAGGATTTTAAAGCCAGATAAGTCTTGTTTAAGAGTATTCTGACCGTCTGAGCATGTTCTTAATTTATAGATTTGTCATAGAAATCTTGTTATTGTACAAACATAAAAAATGACATTTTTTTGTGATAGAAACTTTATTTTATATAGAAAAACCTCCCTGAGCAGTTTTTGATTCATCCTCATTAAAGTCTGCAGCTCTTCAGCGTATGCTGCTTAATTCTCATACAGTTCTGTTCAGCAGAACGGTACACCAGCTTTTTCCTTTTGAATTTAAAGCCCAAGGAGCCAAAAACCTGTCAGAAATCCAAGTGCTGAATGATGATTGAGTGTTTCGCCCTCACAATTTATTAGTTTTGTGTTTTGCAGGCACTTTCTCACAGCTTGGAGCCATTCGTCTCCTAGTGAAAATCTGCTCTGCCCCCCCCACCCCCACCCCGCTTTTCCTGCGATGGGGAGCGGGCGGACAGCTTGTATAGAACAATATAAGTTTCCTGTAATGCTTCAAGACTGTTTCTTTGACAAGACACAACCTGGTGCCCTGCACAGCTCAGCCTCAGAGGAAACAAATGACCCTGGTGTTGTTTACCTCTTATTCCACCTCTCAGATTACCTCTCATCTTGTCCTCCTCATCCTGGTATTGCCTCCCTCAGCAGCCTCTTACTGCGTCTGTCGACCTTTTTTTAAAACATGCTCTAATGCCAATTTCCTTCATCAGGATTTCTGTGGTCTCAAGCTCATAACTTGGCCCGAGGAGGGTATATTGAGGGGCTGATCCTCTCAGTCTGGGACCCTAAAGTCATATCCTGTATGGGGCTTTAGTCTCAAACAGTATTACCTTCATTTTTTTGTTTACCTAGAGGACAGTGCGCCRCTGGTTTGAACTGGAGTTCTGAATAAAAGCAAACCCACCTCCCATCCCACAGCGGTTTTCAATTTGAACAGCTAATTGATTGGTCGAGGTTTATTTATATTTGCTGATATAAGAAATGAAATAAAATAGGCCAGTGTGAGTGTGCATATCACCTGAGCTCATTTAAGTACCTTCACATTCATTTTTATACCGGTAAGCTGCATCTAAGCAAAATTGTGTCTAGAAGAAGATGTTCTGTGTCATTCTCATTTCTAATTTGTGTAATTTTTTAAAAAAGGATGTTCTAATTTTTTTAAATTAAAAATTAAGTTTAAAAAAGGATGTTCTCCAAAGTAAAAGGTCTGTTCTCTTTTTATTTGATTGGTCGTCTAGACAGCACCTTTCACTTCTTTCATCTGTAGTTTCTCAGCTAATTTCATGTCTTTATTTTTATCTTTCTTCCTCATGTTGCTTTTTTGTTCCAGTTATCATATTCTTACCCTCAGTTTTAGATAGATACTAGATAAACTTGCTAAAGAAGAAATTATATTTGTATTGATCTGAGTTCTGTTTCAGTTTTAAACATGTTTTCTTATACATAGCAGACTTGGTACTTCGCGAGTAAAAGTTGAATGGTAATGACTTTATTCTCTGGCTCTTGTGTGCGAGTCCCTGGTCTTGTGCTTTGGCCCTTTTCCTGTCAGTGTTTCAAACACGCGGATATATTTATTTTTTCTTCCCTCCT